TAAGGCCTCAAACACATGTTTGCCAGAGGTCATGCTCCTTGAGAGTGATGCTCACTTATCTTTTTATTTGGTGTGTTCGCCTGAATTACACCCCATTTGTGATACTGACTTACACCTGACAGTGGTGCAGCCAAAAACTGTTTGTGGTGCTAGAGGTCACAGAGAGCAGAGCCACCAGGCTCAGACAACAGCCAGGGTCATGGCAAATGTGGACCACTAGGGATCTGGACTCATGTCCATGTCTTTGCAAGGTAGGTGCTCTAAATCACTGCAGCAGGGGCTGGAGTGATAGTACAGCAGGTAGGGCATTTGCCTTGCAAGCAGCCGACCCAGGTTCAATTCCCAGCATCTCATATAGCCCGAGCACCGCCAGGAGTAGTTCCTGAGTGCAAAGCCAGGAGTGATCCCTGTGCACTGCCGGGTATGAGCCAAAAAGCAAAATAAATAAAAAATTTTTTAAAAATCATTGCAATATTCCTCTGAGCACTATAATTCTTTTCATTAAAAAAAAAGTTTTGTTTTTACTGGTCTGGGGCCAACCTGGAGCTGCTCAAGACTTATTCTTGGCTCTGTGCTCAGGGATCACTCCTGGCAGGGCTTAGGGGACCATATGTGTTGCCAGGGACAGAACCTTGGCCTTGGGGCTTAACCCTCCTCCTCCTCTTCTTTCTTATTCTTCTATCTTCTTTTTTCTTCTTTTCTTCTTTGTGTTTTGTTTGTGTTTGGGCCCTGAGACAAGTGCCCTGCCCACTGTTCTATCACTCTGTTCCCAGAGCCTCACACGTACACAGAATTGTTCTACTGCTGAACTATTATCTCCAGCTTCTTGTGACATCAAGCATCATTGATCTGCCATTTTTATCTGTGATAGCCTTGTCTCCCACTTTTCTACTGGCTTCTCAAATACAGTGACTTGTAAGCATTTTCTTTTTTCTTTTTGTGGGATTTGGGGCCATACCCTACAGTTCTCAGGGACCATGCCTGGCAGTTTCCTAGGGAACTGTATGCAGTGTTTGTGTTCCAGGCAGTATCAGAGCACAGCTGCATGCTGGAAAAGCCCCTTTATCTCTGGCCTATCTCTTTGTCCCTGGCAGTGTTTTCTATTTTTGTTTTGTTTGGGGGTCACACCCCAGCAGTTTTTAAGGTTAACTCCCTGCTCTGTACTCTGGAGTGACCCCTGGTAATGCTGGGTGCACCATGTCAGACCAGGGTCATCTGCATGCCGGGGAAGTGGCTTACCCACTGTACTGTCCCTCTAACTTTGCCTTGCCTGATTTCGCTGTTATTGCGGGCGTGTAGCACACATGGTTGGGTTATCCACAAACTTGGTCAGAGTGCTCTGTGATGACACACACTTTAATTGCACGCACACATGCCCACTGGGTCACACTCTTTCACGGTGGACTCACACGTGTTCTCACCAGGGATTGCAGGTGTGGCCCCACTTGGCTTGCACAGTTTTTAGTTGTGCTCACAGGAGTGGGCGTGAGGATCACGTCTCACCGTCAAGTTGCAGTGCTTAAGCACACCTGCCTGTGATATGCCAGATCCGGCATCACTAGTGGGTCCTGGGAGAGCCGCAGAACCACGGTGAGCACTGCGGGCTCACCAGTCAAACAGGTCTGTGACTGCAGGCCAGGAGCTTTTTGTTTGGTTCTTTTTTTGTTTTTGATTTTTGAGCCACATCCAGCGGTTCTCAGGGCTTACACCCGGGTCTGCTCACGGGGTTCACTCCTGGCAGGGCACAGGGGCCCATATCTGTTGTTCTGTACTATTGCTCCAGCTCATCTTTTTATTTATTTATTTATTTATTTATTTTTGCTTTTTGGGTCACACCCAGCAATGCACAGGGGTTACTCCTGGCTCTGCACTCAGGAGTTACTCTTGGCGGTGCTCAGGGGACCATATGGGATGCTGGGAATCAAACCTGGGTCGGCCGTGTGTAAGGCAAACGCCCTACCCGCTATGCTATCTCTCCAGCCCTCATCTTTTTATTTTTGAAGTAGTTTATTTTGTAATTGTTTTTATCAGTCTTTTTGGTTCCTACTTTGTTTTTTTGTACATTATGCTTTAGAAAGATTTTCACCACTGAAAGATTGCAAAAACATTCTCTCATGTTTTCTTCTAGTATGAATTGTTTCCGTGTGTGTGTGTGTGTGTGTTGGGATTGAACCCAGGGCCTCATATATATGATGCAGTTTTTCTGTTTTTTCCTGTGCTCAGGGCCTACCTCTGTTTCTGTGCTTGGATGCCACACCAACCAGTGTTGATGGTAAATGTTATCTGGAACGGAACCTGGGCTTTCCATTGGCCAAGCATGGACTCCAGCCCTTGTGCTATTGTAGGCCCTGCTTTGTTCATTTGTTTTTTCATTTTCATTTTGATTTTGTATTTTATTGGCCACATCCGGTAGTGCTTAGGGCTTATTACTGCTCTATGCACAGGTATCAAACTGGGGTCAGTCTCAGGCAAGACAAGTACCTTAATCCCTGTACTATCTCCCCAGAGCCCCCACCCCTTATTTTTTTTTGTTTCCTTTTGTTTTGGAATTGTTTATTTTATTTTTATAAAGTAGTTCACAATATCTGATTACATTTAATATTTGAACATCAATCCCACCACTATTACACCTTCCCACCGCCATATTTTGGATGTTTCCATGAACCCCTGCCCCAAAGCAGAACTGAAGTAATTTATTTTGTATAGTTTGTTGTGAATAAACCACTGAAAATGCTCCAAAAAACTTTCCTTAGTTTATTTGTTTTTTTGTGGGGGCTATCCCCAGGGCTGGAGTGATAGCACAGCGGTAGAGTGTTTGCCTTGCACGTGGCCAACCTGGATTTGATTCCTTTGCCCCTCTAGGAGAACCCAGCAAGCTACCAAGAGTATCACACCTGCACAGCAAAGCCTGGCAAGCTACCCGTGATGCATTCGATATGCCAAAAACAGTAACAACAAGTCTCACAATGGAGATGTTACTGGTGTCCGCTCAAGCAAATCGATGAACAAGGGGAGGACAGTGCTACAGTGCTACCCCCAGTGAAACTTTAAGGGCCCAGGATTACTCCCAGTGGTGCTTAGCCTGGATGTGTGGGTAGATTTTTAGGGTTTTTGTTGTTGTTGTTGTTGTTTGTTTTTTGCTTTTTCCCTCACTCCGCTCATTTTTGGACCACATATGGCAATTCTTAGGACTGACTCCTGACTCTGTGCTCAAGGATCACGCCTGAGGTGCTGGGAGACCATATGAGGTGCCAGGGATTGAGCCAGGGTTAGCCTCATGCAAGGCACACGCCCTATCCATTGTACTATCTCTCTGACCCCTGGGCTGACAGTTTGGTTCTCCTGCCTAGAAATGTGCTGCTTGGGGCCAGCAGGCTTGTCAGGGTCAGGCATGCAACTCAGAGCCTTGTGTCTTGGGCATGTACCCTACCACTTAAACTCTCTCCCCATCACTAACAAGGCAGTTTGTTGTTATTAAATTCTTTCCTTCTTTTTTGTTTTTTGTTCCGGGAGCTCTCCTGGAAGTGCTCAGGGTCACTCTTGTTGGTGTTTGGGGCGCCCTGTGTTACCGGGGGATTAAACCAAGACTCCCGCATACAAAGCGTGCATTCCGGTACTCTGGACCATCTTTCCAGACTTTATGTTAAATTCTTGGACCTGTCTTGAATTTAGTTTGGCATAAAGAGTGTCTTCTCCATTCAGCATCATTTTTGACCCTTTTTACCCTCCCCCTTTAAAGTGGCATTATGTGGAGTCAGGGAGATGCTCAGTGAGCTGGTGGACAGGCTTTGCAGGAAGAAGCCCTGAATTCAATCCCCACCAACACATCAACTTCCAAAGGCTGCCAGAAGCAACCCCTAGGCACAAAGCCAAGAGTAGCCCCTGGGCACCACGAGGTGTGACTCCAAAACAAACAAATGGAATTATGTACTGAATTCCATATATACCTGAGTCTATTTCTATTGGGGGTGGGAGGGAGGTGTTGCACCACCGCCAGCTGTGCTTAGGGCTTACTCCTGGCTCTGTGCTCAGAGGTTACTCCTGGCTTTGGGGACCATATGCAGTACCAGGGACCAAACTAGGGTTTGCCTATAGGCAAAGCAAGTGCCTGAACCTCTGTACTCTCTCTCTCTGGCCATATATCTGGACATTATAGTCTTTACTGGTGAACTTTTTAGTCAACTTTTTATTCTGTTCCCTGTGTCACACAGTTTAGACTTTTCATCCTCCTCGACAACGTGACAACATGGAGCAAAGGGTTAGCAAGGAGTTCACTAAAAATTGGCCCATGGGAGCAGGGTTAAGCACTTGCCTGGCATATGGCCAACCCCAGTTGACTCCCCTGACCTGCATATGGTTCCTTGAACACTGCCCACAGTCATTCCTGAGCACAGAGCCAAGAATAGCCCCTCAGTACCACCGGGTGTGGCTCCAACCTTCTGCACCCCTCTTAAAGAAAAAGTTTGGTCCATAGGCCAAAGTGATGGCTCAGTGGACTGAGTGTGTGCTCTGCACCCAGGGTCAATTCCCACACCACATTCACCCAGATACTGCCGGGGTGACCCCTGAGCACAGAGCTGGGTATAGCCACTCAGCACTGTGGCATATTACCCGAAAACTAGAATAAGAAAAGAAAGAGGTTAGAGAGATAGTACAGCACATAAGAGCTCTTGCCTTGCATGTGGCTGAGCCAGGTTTTATTCCTAACACCCCATCTCTGGTCCCTAACCTATCAGGAGTGATCTCTGAGCACAGAGCCAGGAGTAAGCTCTGAGCACAACACTGGTTGTGACTCAAGAATCAAAACAGGAAAAAAAATTTTATAATTAATGTTGATCCACAGGAGCTATGACCAACTAGGCTGTCCTTTGACTGGTAGGGGCTGGGAAGGCCACCTGCAGAGAAACTCTCAGATTTTTGGGGAAAGGGGTTAAGGGTTAAGAGCTTCTTTAGGTTTCATGGATGAGTTCTCACTCACCTGTCTTCTCTTCCCTCCCTAGGGTACGAGGGACAGGATTTGGCGAAGATCCTCAAGGATATAGAGATGAGTAAGGTGGTATACATGGATCGATGGTCCGTGGAGGTGATACCCCAACACACAGAAGAGAAGAGCGACCCAGTGCCCTTTCACATCATCAATAACTACTTCTCCATCGGTGTGGTCAGTGTGGTGGGGCCTGAGGGATGTTGGGGAAGTTGAGGTTGAGCAGGCAGAGGGTGAGCAGAAGAGGAAGGTGGAGATCAGTGGGGCTGTGATACATGGAAATCGGGGATGGATATAGGTGGGTACAGAAAAGAATATGGACATATTACTCCTAGACTGAGATGTACGGGGCTGGAGTGATAGCACAGTGGGTAGGACGTTTGCCTTGCATGCGGCCGACCTGAGCTCAAGTCCCAGCATCCCATATGGTCTCCCGAGCACCTCCAGGAGTAATTCCTGAGTGCAGAGCCAGGAGTAACCCCTGTGCATCGGCGGGTGTGACCCAAAAAGAAAAAAGGAAAAAACAACAGACTGGCGTGTTACGGAGTTCTGTGCTAGGACGGGAGGCAGGACTCTCATCTGAAGTGCCCTGAACTCCTCAGGATGCCTCTATTGCTCACCGGTTCCATGCCATGCGAGAGAAATATCCGGAGAAGTTCAACAGCAGGTGAGGGGGTGGGAGGTGGGATGTCGTGGGCATACACAAAGACAAGGATCTGGCAGTGGCCAGGTTTGACTCAGAGTGTCCAAAGGACACTGGCACTTGTGGGAACCCCTCACCGAAACCCCCTGGTTCACCTTAGGACTGGAGCCAGGAAGGGGATGTCCACTTCCCTGCACCTGGCCCAGACTCGCCAGCCCTGTAACCTGTCACCTCTGTCTTGGGCCTTATGGTGGGGTTGACACAGAATGAAGAACAAGCTCTGGTACTTTGAATTCGCCACATCTGAATCTATCTTCTCAACGTGCAAAGGGCTGGAGGATGCTCTAACAATTGAGGTAGGGATCACAAAACACAACCGGTCATCCTTTCAGTTTCTTTCCTTAATTTTTTATTTTTTTGTTGCTCTTTTGTGTATTTTCTTTTTAGCTTTTGGGCCACTTCCAGCAGTGCTGGGAAGCCATGCAGTGCCAGGGACTGCATTGGGCCCCCCCACATGCAAAGCATGCACTCAGCCCCATGTACCATCCCCCCCAGTCCTCTTTCAGTTTTATTTTTTATATATATTAGTTTCCTCCTTCATAGTCTTCAACCGGGAATTGTTTATGTTCTTGAACATTGGCTATCCCCAATATCAGTCCTGGTTTCTCAAATCCTCAAGATCCAAAAGTTTCTATTTGGGGATTAGAGAGGTAGGACAGTGGGCAGGGTGCTTGCCTTGCACATGGCCAACCTAGGTTCGCCAGCATCCCGTGTAACTCAAGCATCACCAAGAGTGACCCCCAAGCATCGCTGTGTGGCTCCAAAACAAACCCCAAAAAGTCCCTATTTTTTTTTTTTGCTTTTTGGGTCACACCTGGTGATACTCAGGGGTAACTCCTGGCTTTGCACTCAGGAATAACTCCTGGCGGTACTCAGGGGACCATATGGGATGCTGGGAATTGAACCTGGGTTGGCCACGTGCAAGGCAACGCCCTACCCGCTGTGCTATCACTCCAGCCCAAAAAGTCCCTATTTCTGCCATCCCTTACGAACCTTCCAGCATCCCTTCCCTGTTTGCCATATGGTGGAAAGATTCTTAGCCATGATTGTACCGTGAGGGGAGTGATCTTTGCCCTTCTGGGCCCTTCTCGCTCAGATCTGTGGGAAGCCCCTGGACCTGAGCCACCTCTCCCTAGAAGGCATCGCAGTGCTGAATATCCCCAGTACACACGGCGGCTCCAACCTCTGGGGCGATACCAAGAAACCTCAAGGAGACTCCACTCATGGGATCAACCAGGCCTTGGGCGCTACAGCAAAAGTCATCACTGACCCTGATATCCTGAAAACCTGCGTCCCAGGTGAGAGGAGCAGCCTAGGAGCTGAGTGGGCAGGGCCAAGAGCAGAGGCGACTCTTTGGTAAAACTCTCTGCTTCCCCCTCAGACCTAAGTGACAAGCGGCTGGAAGTAGTAGGTCTGGAAGGTGCCATCGATATCGGCCAGATCTATACCAAGCTCAAGAGTGCTGGACATCGTCTGGCCAAGTGCTCTGAGATCACTTTCCAGTAAGGGAAACTCTGACCTTTTGGGAGCAGTGATGCCAGGAGAGCAGGAGGGCCCTGGGAGAGGAGGGGAGGGACTTTGACCCAGGAACCACAAATCTCATAAGAGAGTTTTGGGGTCTGGCTGGTAAAGAAACCCCCACCAATCTGTCCTGGCTTCCTCCAGCACCAGGAAAACCCTCCCCATGCAGATTGATGGAGAGCCCTGGATGCAAACGCCTTGTACGGTAAGTCCTGCTTGTGTCTGTCTGTCTGTGCCTCAGGCTCCTGAACCCTCATTCTCCATTCTGTTCCCCACTTTTCACTCTCTCCGGAAACCGGGAGGTCCGCTGTTTACCACTGCTGCCAAATCCTGATTGCTCGGCCCTTACCCTCTCCAGGATCCTGGAAACTCACCCTGAATCCCACAGATCTCTCCCCCATTCCAAAGCAACCAGCCTTGCCTCTGACCATGTCCCTTCCCTTCCAGATCAAGATCACCCACAAGAACCAGATGCCTATGCTCATGGGCCCACCCCCACGCACCTCCAGTTTCTTTGGCTTCTTGTGCTGAGGGGGACTCCCACAGCCTCCAAAGCAGTCTTGAACACACCTCGATGTCCTTGGACTCGAGTCCTGAGGCTCCGCACCTTGCTACATACCCTCCCGCCAACCGAGGAGGTGTTCCTGCACCCTCACAGTATTTATTGCCCCACACAGCAGTGCTCTTCCCCACTCATCTGTGTGCACACACACGTTGAAAGTGCCTCATCTAATAAATGACCTTTTCCCCCTCACTGGGATATTCGTTATGTCGTCCACCGCCTTCTTTTGTTGCCTCTTGAGTGACATCGATTCTCCCAGAAGCAAGCAAGACAACAACGACACTCGGTTCTGAGCGTTTATTTCAGATGACGGTCATCTGCAGCAGAAGACCTTGGCTGTCCACCTGAAATCAATCAGGGCACCCTATGAGCCGACTCAGACCTGCTGCCCATGGAGAAGGGGGCTGTTCTCACCAGTGGGGCAAGAACGGAAGAATTGAGGCATCCGCAGCCAGTGGGTGGTGCGCTGTGTCAGTGGGGGCAGCGTGGGCGGGGCGCCCCGCTTCCTGAGTCTGTGCCTGAGATTGGGGGAAGAAAAAACTGGTTAGCAGTGGACCAGGACAGCCAGCTGTCCTCCACAAAGGGACACACCCAGGGGCTGGAGCGATAGCACAGCGGGTAGGGCATTTGCCTTGCACGTGGACGACCCAGGTTCGATTCCCAGCATCCCATATGGTCCCCTGAGCACCACCAGGAGTAATTCCTGGGTGAATGAGCCAGGAGTAACCCTTGTGCATCCCCGGATGTGACCCAAAAAGCCCCCCCTCCAACAAAACAAAACAAAACAAGAGGACACATCCATACACAGATCTATTTGGCTTTGGTCATCACTCCCTCTCACTCCCCTCTTCCTCGAGTTCATTTCCCCTGTTTCAATGGTAACCGCTGTGTGTAAAAACCGACCCCTAGGAGAGTATCCCTGCTGTGAGGACGCGGGCACTCCCGACCTGGGAACTTGCCTTTTTCGTAGAGAACTCATTTCACCCATCTTCCTCAGCTCTTGATATTGCTAATAATAACAGTTAACAATATAACCATTCTGTCTCTCTCTCTTTCTCCCCCTCCCTCCTCTTCCTCTCCCTCCCTCCCTCTCTCCTTCTCTCTGAGCCATCTCCCACCCCTCTCACCCCTAGAACCAGGTGCTTTACCTACCTACATTTCCTTTAACTGTTAAAGTCCTCTAGAACAGTTGCAAGTTTTCCTACTTGTCCTAGGCTCAGAAAGACTAAGCTACTGGCTCAGGAATTATAGGGAAATCTGCCATCAGGCCTGTTTCAGTTCCACATACAGTCTGCCCTGGAAACTGCAATTCTCCAAGGAAAGTAGGGAATTCTTTGAGGAATTCCTTTGAGGAAGAATTAGTGGGGATAAAGAAAATAAGGAAGCCCAAGGTGGGTGATAGGGTCCTCACCTATAGATCACAGACGCAAGCACCATAGCCATCAGCACCAGCACCATGCCCAGGACCAGAGGGGCCTTCCCAGGGCCTGCTGTCTGGCCTGTGAGCAGAATCACAGGAAGAGCTTCAGTTCCCTGCCAGATAACCACGCCCACTCCTCTTCCACACCCCTGTCCAGGGACCTACCAGGCATCACAAGCTGGGTGCTGACCATTGCCAGACTGTTGGCATCAGCCAAAGATACATTGAGGCAGTAGGTCCCTGAGCCACCCGTCAGGGCCTGGTGCAGAACCAGTTGGCAGGCTGGGCTGGGTGGCACGGGCTGACACAGCCTCTGGGCAGGAGGCTGGCACCCTGGTGACGAGATATCCATACAGGCTTCCTGGGGCAACCTAGGAGAGGTGACAATTGATGTCAGATGGTCTGGGGCAGAGGAGAGCACCAGGAGACAGGCAGCAGGCAGGGCACAGGGTCTACTTGCCCGCCTTGGCAGGACACAGTCAGTTCAAATGCATCTCCGTCACTGGAAGGCAGAGCCTGCAGGATCTCAGCGCTTTCAATACCCTCTGAAAAGTGACAAAAGTTTAAGCTGGATTCTTTCAATCGGCCTCCCCAAGGGCTCATAAAAGGGGAAGGCCTAGGGCTGCTTCCCCAGTTCCATCCCTGTCCCTTCAGTGAAAGAAGACCCAGGCACTTGGATATTCTTGTGCATGTGTCCAGTGGACAGCACCAGCACCAACCCCCTCCCCCACCAACCTCCAAAGTAGGGAAAACTCACGGACAATATCCAGGGTGAGGGAAAAGGAGCCATATCGATACAGAACACAATCCAGGGGGACTTGTCGCTTCACCAAGATTAAAGTGGCTGTGTCTTCCAGCAGGGGGCTCTGGGAGTCTGGCAAGAGAGGGTTGAAGAGGCAAAGGCAAGAGAAGTGACTCATCTGGACACTGGCCAAAGAAGGCCTATTTTTCCAGGGAGAGCCAGAGTTAGAAGATACAGGCTTGGAATCAAACAAGACCTGGGGAATCACATTTTATTTTTTTTTTTTCAAACCCATCTGGCCCCTTCTGCCACAAATTCATTTTAGAGATGAGGAACTGCTATAAAGTCACAGGTCTAGTTTAGGAGGTTTATTTAATTTATGTATTTATTTATTTTCTTTTTGGTTCACACCGAGTGATGCTCAGGGGTTCCTCCTGGCTCTGCACTCAGGAATTACTCCTGGTGGTGCTTGGGGGACCATATGGGATGCTGGGAATTGAACCCGGGTTGGTCACATGCAAGGCAAACGCCCAACTCGCTGTGCTATCGCTCCAGCCTCTAGTTTAGGAGTTTTTAAACATCCTGGGGGGGCTGGAGCAATAGTACAGAGGTAGGGCGTTTGCCTTGCAGGCGGCCAACCTAAGTTCTACCGCCAGCATCCCATATGGTCCCCCAAGCACCGCCAGGAGTAATTCCTGAGTGCAGAGCCAGGAGGAACCCCTGAGCAACGCTGGGTGTGACCTAAAAAGCAAAACAATAATAATAATAGTAATTAATTAATTAAAAATTCTGTAGATGAGCCAGAGCAATAGGTAGAACATTTGCCTTGTATGCAGTCCACCCAGGTTCAATCCCCAGCATCCTATATGGTCCCCTGAGCACCTCCAGGAGTAACTCCTTAGCAGCATGGGGTGTGGCCCAAAAATAAAACAAAAAATAAATAAATAAATGAAAATCTCAGAGTTGTAGCTCTTGGCTGAGCACAAGTTGGATCATTCCCACATGTGGACATGATCTCAGCAGTATAGCTGTTGGTGAACCCAAGTAAGCATCTCAACCAAGCATGTCAATGCTGCAATCAGGTGTGTGTGACTCCTAGACATTGCAACATCAATGAGGGGGAGAGCAACATAAAGGTAAAAGGTAAAGGCCCTCCCGTTGATCGTCGATTTGCTCGAGCGGGCCCAGTAACGTCTCCATTGGAGACTTTGTTGTTACTGTGTCTGGCATATCGAATACTCTCGGTAGCTTGCCGGGCTCTCTGAGAGGGGCGGAGGAATCGAACTCGGGTCGGCCATGTTGGCCGCTTGTAAGGCGAACGCCCTACCGCTGTGCTACATAGAATTAACAAATAAAATAAATAGGGGCCAGAGATATAATACAACAGACAGAGTGTTTGCCTTGCACTTGGCTGACCTGGGTCAATCCCCAGCTTCCCAAATGGTCCCCCAGAGGAATTCCAGAGTGCCGAGCCAGAAATAACCCTTGAGCATTACCGGGTGTGTCCCAAAACAAAAACAAGCAAACTAAGAAGAATGAACAGCATCTGGATCCTGGTAAGTCCATCCGCTCTTTAGTAACATGCCTCACCTGAATAAACTCCATTCCTATTGGCCCTCTTACCTGTTACCGCCTCTGGAGATGTGAGTGTTGGACCCTCGCTCTCTGGACTGGGCACCTCCCCAGCTGTGGTGTCCCCCAGCGCCGAAGTTATTACCGGTGCAGTTGTGGCTCCAGAGGGTTCTGCAGTCGGCACTTCAGAAGTGGAACCTCCAGCCTCGGCAGTTGGTGCTGCTGCAGGTGTGGTACCAACGACCTCTGAGGTTGGCACTTGCCCAGGTGTGCTGTTGGTGCTCTCTGCCGTGGGTACCAGCGCTGCTGTGGTTCCAAACGGCACTGCAGTTGATACCTGACCAGGCGGAGTACTGACAAGTCCTGCAGTCGGCCCTTCCCCAGCTGTGGTGCCAGGGGCCTCGGCAGTTGGCCCTTCCCCAGCTGTGGTGCCAGGGGCCTCGGCGGTCGGCACATTCCCATCTGTGGTGCCTGGCACTGGGGAGGAGCCACAGGGGGTGAGCGGGATGGCAGCCTGGAGCACCACCCGGGCCGTGACGGGGCCGGACTCCAGGTAAGTGTGAGTGACCACATGTGCCCGGGAGATCAGAGTGCCAGTGCTATCTCCGAAGTCCCATGTGTAGGAGAGGTCAGCCTGAGCCAAATAGCCACTGGGGTCATGGAGCTGGAGGGCAAAAGTCAGAGGTTGATTTCTCAGGAAGTGCTTGTTCCCTCCATCCAAGGCCTGCAGCTGGGACACACTCACAGAGAAGGGGACCTGATCTGGGTTTGGAGGCAAAAAATGGAGAGAAGAAATCAAGCTTGGGTCTCAGGGCACCTTTATAACCACACCCTCCAGGCCCAAGCTGCTACACTAGCTCCACACTCGACATTCCTCACCCTGGTCTTTTTTTTTTTTTTGCTTGCTTTTTGGGTCACACCCAGTGATGCACAGGGGTTCCTCCTGGCTCTGCACTTAGGAATTACTCCTGGCGGTGCTCAGGGGACCATATGGGATGCTGGGAATCGAACCCGTGTCAGCCGCATGCAAGGCAAACACCCTACCCACTGTGCTATTGCTCCAGCCCCTACCCTGGTCTTCGGGGTGTGCCCTTTTAAAGGTTTCCCACTTCCCCTCGCCCTCTCCAATCAGGGGAAGCCACCCCACCTTCTCCAGCCCCAAGTGGTTTTGCTTCCTAAGTCCTGACCTGTAATGGTGAAGGCCGAGCGGGAGTAAGCAAGGGGCACGTAGCTCCGGTGGCCCCGGCGGTGGTAGACGGTCACTTCCATGATATGTGAGCCTAACGCTACGTTTGCCCCCGTCCCGATGCTCAGTCCTGACTCCGGGCCTCCCAGCACCTGCCAGTATTGGCCTGCAGAGAGGGATGAGGCTGCTGGTTAGTGGGGCAGGGTGAGACATGGCAGAAGAAAGAGGACCATGATTTCAGAAGGTGTTTACAAAAGGGCTGGCCTGGGAGACACGAAACGAGCCCATGTGAGTTTCCCCAGAAAGAGACTGCGGCTGAGTGAATGAATGACCTATCACAGAGATGGAGGGTCAGAAAGGAGCCAAGGGGAAGTAGAAGGCGGGGAGTCTGATAGAGCCTAAGGGGTGCAACCAAAAAGAAGGGAGGTTCAGATAGGACAGGGTGACTCCAAGTACAGATGACAGGCCGGTGAAGGGAGTTCCTCACCCCAGGTCTTCCAGACATAAACGAAGCTTCTCCTCTGAGACCAAGGGCCAGGAGGGCAGGGTCCTCCATCAGGGAAGATGCAGGCATCATCGGGGTCTTGAGGATACACTGGCTGTCCCCCCCACACTTGGCTTCCTGAAAGTCAGACAGAATGACCCTTAAACCCCAGCACACCTTCTTCTAGACTAAAACTTTTTTTTTTTTTTTTTTTTTTGCTTTTTGGGTCACACTCGGCGATGCATAGGGGTTACTCCTGGCTCTGCACTCAAGAGTTACTCTGGGTGGTGCTCAGGGGACCATATGAGATGCTGGAAATCGAAGCTGGGTCAGCTGCGTGCAAGGCAAACGCCCTACCCGCTGTGCTATCGCTCTAACCGGAGACCAAAACTCTGAACACAACGCCTAGGGAGAGGTCTGGGAATACTCCTTACTTACAAAGTTCATTCCCCAAAAGGCAGGTAACCGTCATGGGGTGGCAGTAAGGGGAATGGGGGGATATCGTGCCGAAAAAGATTCCTATGTATGTTGATACATAAGAAAGATGCTGAAAAGCCATGCATAAGAATATTTTAAAATGGCTTTCTCTAACTAGTGGTACACATTATTTTTTTTAATAGAAAGTTTTACTGGAAAGTAAAAGGGAAAGGAAAAGAAACTCCCCAGCTAGGGAGGAACTTAGTACAGGACTAAGTTAGTGGCACAGAAATTAAAAACAACAGTTAAGACTTTCAGTAGAAATACTTCCAGGGTCAATAGGTAAAAGAGCAGAAATCCAAAACCAACATTTAATTCTTGAACCCAGCCGTAGAAAGCAAATCACTTCACAATGCTTTTTCAGCATGTCTGATTTGGGGGGGGGGGGGGTAAACTCTAAATAATAGTGGTGAATCTTTTATTGAAACAATGAATCTAATCAAAGCAGATAGAGTGTTAACTAGAATTCATCTGCCTCACAGGGACGGGGAGGGGTGGGGGGTGGGGTTTTATTGGGGTTCTTCATGGTAAAAAATAAGTTTTGGTAAAGGGAAATGTGTTTGATATTTGCATGACTGAGACATAAACCTGAAAGCTTTGTAACCTTTCCCACAGTGATTCAATAAATAAAAAAAAAAAAACAACAGTTAAGAGTTAAGAGGGGTTGGGGAGGGGGCACAGCAGGTAGGGCGTTTGCCTTGCACGTGGCCAACCCGGGTTCGATTCCCAGCATCCCATATGGTCCCCTGAGCACCGCCAGGAGTAATTCCTGAGCGCAGAGCCAGGAGTAACCCCTGTGCATTGCCGGGTGTGACCCAAAAAGCAAAAAAAAAAAAAGAGGGGTTTGGGAGATATGGCAGTGGGTAGGGTGGCACATAGCCAACCCAGTTTGATCTGTGGCACCTCATATGTTTGCCCAAGCCCACTAGGAGTGATCCCTGACTTCAGAGCCAGTAGTAAGCCCTGAGCACTGCCAGTGTGACCCAAAAGCCAAAATAAATAAAATGTCAGTGTGGGGTAAATGGCTCCAAGAGCCCCCTGGATACCACTAGGAGTGACCCCTGAGCACCAAGACAGGAGGAGCTCCAGAGCACCGCCAGGAGAGGCCTCCAACACAAAATCAAAACAAAGTAGCCACATTAGTGGAGCCAAAGAGATAGTACAGGGATCAAGGTGCTTGACTTACATGAGACCAACCCCAATTTCTCTTTGATTTTTTTGTTTTCGTGTCATGCCCAACAGTACTCAGGGCTTACTCCTGGCTCTATATTCAAGGATCACTCCTGTTAGGGATTAGGGCACCACAGGGTGCTGTGGATGGAACCTGGGCTGACTGCATGCAAGGCAAATTCCCTACCCTCTGTATTATTGCTTTGACCCTAGACCAACCCCAATTTGATCCCTCACATCACATATAATTCCCCAGTCACTGCTAGGAGTGACCCCTGAGTACAGAGTCAGGAGTGCTCCCTGAGCACAGTCAAGTGTGACCCCAAAACCAAATTTAACAAATAAATAACAGCTAGGGAAAATGTCATGCCAAATTCTTTCTATATTATCACATTTAAATTCTGTCACCATTTTTGAATGCCATCATCCCCGAGCAGAGCCCTGGCAGCCGAAGACCTCCAGAACCAGCCACAACCATGCTGAGACCACTTTCCACACGCATGAAGGTGCCGGCAGAGGAACAAAGGAATGTGGGTCCCGGGGCTGAGATCTCCAAGCCTGCTCAGATCAGGGCTGAGCATCCTCCACCCAGATCCCCCATCTTCCAGTAGGCAGGGGTCACACTCACCAACTGTCCCCCATCCCCCCCTCCCCCGCGCCGTGTAATCCCATCAATGGCCAAGACCTGGAGACTATAAAACCCAGCTCCCGGAAGCATATGGCCGCATTTGTGGCCGTGCAACATCTTATTATCTCATTCTTAATTTGGACAACCTGGCAGGCTACCAAATGTAACCTGCCCACACGGCAGAGTCTGGCAAACTCCCCGTGGCATACCTAATATGCCAAATACCAGTAACAATGATGGGTCTCATTCTCCTAACCCTGAAAGAGCCTTGAATATGGCACTTTTTTTTTCTTTTTGGGTCACACCTGGTGATGCACAGGGGTTACTCCTGGCTCATGCACTCAGGAATTACTACTGGCGGTGCTCAGGGGACCATATGGGATGCTGGGAATCGAACCCAGGTTGGCTGCTGCAAGGCAAACGCCCTACCTGCTGTGCTATCGCTCCAGCCCCGAATATGGCACTTTTTAAAATCTCAGGGCTAGGGCAAAGGAGACGTTACTGGTGCCTACTCGAGGCAATCGACGAACAACAGGATGATCGTGATCGTGATCCCCAATCCACAAGTAAGGTAATGAAAACACAGCACATTCAAGTAACTTGTGCCCAGGGTCACATATCAATACTAAGTTTAAATCTAAGTTTGTCTAACCTCTAGGTCCACTGGATTGTGCTGTCAACCATTTGGGGTGCTTTTTCTTTTCTTTCTTTTTTTGGGGGTACACTCCCTCTACTATTATTTTCTTTGTCTTTACCTGTGTTTTCACAATGACATAGATCACTTGGAAAAGAAAGCGAGGGAGGAAAGAAGGAAGGGAGGAAGGAAGGGAGGAAGAAAATGAGGTAGGAGGAAGAGAGGGAGGGAGGGAAGGAAAGTAGAAAGAAAAAGGAAGGAAAAACAAAAAAAGAAAACAAAAGATAGGAAGGAAGGAAGGAAGGAAGGAAGGAAGGAAGGAAGGAAGGAAGGAAGGGAAGAAAGAGAAAGAAAGAAAGAAAAGAAGGAAGGAAGGAAGGAAGGAAGAAAGAAAGAAAGAAAGAAAGAAAGAAAGAAAGAAAGAAAGAACAGGAAGAAGAGCTCACTGGTAATACCAGGAAATCCAAGCCTTACAAACAAGAGGCTCATTTTCAGGCAAGTACTTACCATTGATGATGGAGTCATTGGCCCAGATGACTTGCCCATCCACCTGCACCTTTTGGCTCTCAGGGAAGAGCAGGGCAATAGAGAAGGAAGCATTTGCCCCGATCAGTGTAGGTCCATCATTACTGACCTTCAGGGAAACTGGGCCACCTAGAAGGGCAACTATGTTAACGGTGACTTCTGGCTCCCCCCTCCATGTATACCTTGCCCCTTCCTACCCCCACCCTAGCCCTCACCTCTTTCTTTCTTTCTTAGCCACACCCAGCAATGTTCAGGGGTTACTCCTGGCTCTGCACTCAGGAATTATTCCTGGTGGTGCTTGGGGGACCATATGGAATGCTGGGAATCGAACCTGGGTCGGCCACATGCAAGGCAAATGCCCTATCCGCTGAACTATCGCTCCGGCCCCCTTTCTTTTGTTTTTGGGCCACACCAAGCGATGCTCCTGGCTTTGTACTCAGGAATCACTCCTGGTAGTGCTCAGGAGACCACACGGGATGCCGGGGATTGAACCCATATTGACCGTGTGCAAGTCAAGAGCCCTCCCTGCTGTACTACTGCTCCAGCCTCTCACCCCTTCCTCTCCCCATTCTATTCCCACTACATCTTCCCTAGAAATTGCCCAATTCCTACCTCTCCAGCAATCACGACCTTGGTTTTCTGTCCACTCTGGATACAGTTGCTTGTTCCAGGATTTAGTTCTGAACTGCCTTGAGACACCAAACCAGTCCTTGTTTCTGGATCCTGAAAGGAAAGGTCCATGAGGGCCCATGGATCAAACAATCACACTACCCCATGTCACCTCACTGACTTTTATTGGGGGGGGGTGTTAATCTTTTGGGGGGGGTTTGAGTTATTTATTATTATTTTTAACTGGTTTTGGTTTTGTTTCTCCACACCTGGCAGTGCTCAAGACTTATTTCTTGCTAAGCACTTGGGAATCTCTCACTCCTGGAGGGAATCAGGGGACCAAATGGGGTGTGGAGGGATTGAATTTAAGTCTGTTATGTGCAAGGCAAACATCCTACCAGTAGCTACTAGCCCTGGAATTTTTTCTTTTCCGGTGAAATAAAATAGTTTTATTTAAAGAACTGTACTCGGGGCTGGAGTGATAGCACAGCGGGTAGGGCGTTTGCCTTGCACGCGGCCAACCCAGGTTCGATTCCCAGCATCCCATATAGTCCCCTGAGCGCCGCCAGGAGTAATTCCTGAGTGTAGAGCCAGGAGTAATCCCTGTGCATCGCCGGGTGTGACCCAAAAAGAAAAAAAAAAAAGTCCTAGCATCCCATATGGTACCCTAACTGAGCACCATCAGGAGTAATTCTTGAGTGCAGAGCCAGGAGTAACTCCTGACCATCACTGGGTGTGACCCAAAAAGAAGAAAAAAAAAAAAAAGAACTGTACTTAGGAGTTTGGAAGGATAGTACAGCTGCAGGACGCTTGACTTTCATGTGGTCAACCCAGGTGTTTTTTTTTTTGTTTTGTTTTGTTTTTGCCTTTTAGGTCACACCCAGCGTTGCACAGGGTTACTCCTGGCTAATGCACTTAGGAATTACTCCTGGCGGTGCTCAGGGGACCATATGGGATGCTGGGAATTGAACCCGGGTCGGCCACATGCAAGGCAAACGCCGTACCCACTGTACTATCGCTCCAGCACCCTTTTTTTTTTTTCATTTTTTTTCAACCCAGGTTTGATCCCCAGCACCACATATAATCCCTGAGCACAATCAGGAGTGAGCTCTGCATACAGAGCCAGGAATAAAACCTGAGTACCTTGAGTATGCTGGCTCCCACCATCACCCCCCAACCCAGAAAAAAAAAAAAGTTTAAAAAGTTGATCCAGTGGTCACATGGTTCCCGAAACAACTTTGGGCAAAACTCCTGTGCACAAACCCAAAATAGATCCCAGAGGGGCTGGCTGTGGTCCAAAAACTAAAAAGGGAAATAAATAAAACATGGCCCTCACAGGATGCTAGGTAATGACAGAAGACACGTGGGGTTTGGAGTGAAAGTACAGTGGGTAAGGTGCTTGCCTGGCAGTCAGTCGACCCAGTTCTATTCACAGCACTACATAGAGTCCCTCCAGGAGTGATCACTGAGCACAGAGCCAGATGTAAGCCCTGAGCACAGTCAGGTATGTGTAGGAAGAAGTTTCCACTGTGCTGAAATATAGATATACCCTCTTTTCTCTTCCTGTATCTGTAGCCTTACAAATTTTTCTCTTCCTATATCTGTAGAGAGAAAGAAAGAAAGAAAGAAAGAAAGAAAGAAAGAAAGAAAGAAAGAAAGAAAAAGAGAGAGAAAGAAAGGGAGAGAGAAAGAGAGAGAAAGAAAAGGGAGAGAGAGAGAGGGAGAGGAGGGAAGGAGAGGAGAGGAGAGATCACGGCATTGTCCGGTGGGAGTCATAAGTTCATACTTATAAGGAACAGCAAAATGACAGAATAAGCAAATCCGTTGCACCGGCAAACGAAAGGGTTTCGTGAGAAGCTGGCTGGTAGATGAAGGCACTGCAGCATGAGTAGATGTTGCAGGCATGGTAGCACAGGACATGCGAGGGATGACTTGCCATGTGGCTGACGCATGCTCTGCAAGCTGAGGCCAAGAAGATGGTTTGGGGACTTGCAGTGCCAGACAAGAATTTAGTCTTTGTCCTGTAGACAAGGCTACCTCAGAAGATTTATTTTGTTTCATTTTATTGAGATATGATTCACTTACCATGAAAATCATCCTTCAGAAATTTCTGTTAGTTTTACTTTTTTTTTTTTTGATTGGGGAGCAGCCTGCTGTGCTCAGGGGTTATTCTTGGCTCTGTACTCAGGGATCACTCCTGGCAGTGCTGGTGGGGGAGGGTCTATGTGGGGTGCCAGGGATCAAAGCCAGGTCAGCCATGTGAGGTCAAATGCCCTACCTGCTCTACTATTGCTCTGCCCCCCAGACAGAATTACTGTAACCGGTTAAAAGGGAAGCCTGAGGAAAGGTACAATGTCTCTCCACGTGCCCTCATGCAGATCCAACAGTAACAGGGTTTGCTATATTTATTTATCCTTGGTAATTGTCTGTGTTTTGGCTGATGTATTTTAAAGCTAGTCACACATATGGGGGGGGGCGGGGGGAGTTGTTATTGGTAGTCTGGGGTTGTTTTTTTCTTTTGGTTTTCATTTGGGGGCTACACAAAGCAGTGCTCAGGGACTCGGGAATCATTCTTAGCAGTGCTCAGGGGACTGAGTGTGGTGCTGTGAATTTGAAGCTGGGTCAGCCACATGTAAGGAAAACACCTGACCCGCTGTACTATCTGGCCACCAGACAATCTTTTTTTTTTTTGCTTTTTGCTTTTTGGGTCACACCCGGCGATACACAGGGGTTACTCCTGGCTCTGCACTCAGGAGTTACTCCTGGCGGTGCTCAGGGGATCATATGGGATGCTGGGAGTTGAACCCGGGTCGGCCACATGCAAGACAAACGCCCTATCCGCTGTGCTATCTCTCCAGCCCCCAGACATCTTATTTTAACCCTACAACTTCAGCTTGTATTTACAAAAAATATGAATATTTTCTTGAAAAAGCAAAATGTCAGGCCAGGTGGCTCCAAGGGCATGCTTTACTTGCAGGAGTCTGGTGAGAGCCCCAGCATTGCAAGATCCCGAGTCCCACCAAGGGAAGTAACCCCCAAGTACCAGGCAGGAAATGTAACCTGAGTACTACTGGGTGTTCAAAAGAAACAAACAAAAAAAAAACAGGGTTGGAGAGGAGAGATTTCTCAGTGGACTGGGTCTATGCAAAACGTGCTTTGCATGCAGGAGGCTGAGGTTTAATGCCTAGTACCATATGTTACCCCAATCACCATAGGATTAGGCCGCCCAAAAATAAAAAAAAAGAAAAAGAAAAATGTCATTTCACACTAGACAAAATTATTTAATCCACGGTCACTGTCACTCCCGTTGTTCATCAATTTGCTCGAGCGGGCCCAGTAACATCGTAAGACTTGTTGTTACTGTGTGTTTGGCATATCGAATACATTACAGGTAGCTTGCCAGGCTTTGCCGTTCAGGTGAGATACTCTCAGTAGCTTGCCGGGCTCTCTGAGAGGGGCAGAGGAATCGAACTTGGGTCGGCCAGGTTGGCCGCGTGCAAGGCAAGTGCCCTACCCGCTGTGTTATCGCTCCAGTCCAGTCCATAAAAATTATTATGAATATCTAACTTTTTTTCCCCTTTGGTTTGTGTGAGCGATAGCACAGCGGTAGGGCGTTTGCCTTGCAGGCGGCTGGCCTGGCCATGCCAGGTTCGATTCCTCCGCCCCTCTCAGAGAGCCCGGCAAGCTACCAAGAGTATCTCACCTGCACAGCAAATCCTGGCAAACTACCTGTGACATATTCAATATGCCAAACACAGTAACAACAAGTCTCACGAAGGAGACGTTACTGGGCCCGCTCAAGCAAATCAATGAACAACGGGAGGACAGTGCTACAGTGGTTTAAAACATCTACACACTTATTTTGGTTTTATTTTTTGGGGAGGCCACGTCTGGCAATGCTGAGGTTATTCCTGAAATTACTCCTGGTGTTACTCTGGGGACCACATGGGAGCTCGGGGATCGAACCCAGGTCAGCCACATACAAGGCAAGCACCTTAACTGCTGTACTATCTCTCCAGCCTCACAACTACATACTTTTCTACATACAGAATGTTTCCAGAAGCATAGCAAAAAAAAAAAAAAAGCATAGCAAAAAAAAAAAAGACTCAAAACTGAAACATGAATAAAAGAAATCAGATCAAGAACTTCTTAGGAGGGGCTGGAGTGTTGGCACAGCGGGTAGGATGTTTGCCTTGCATGCGGCCAACCTGGGTTCGATTCCCAGCATCCCATATGGTCCCCTGAGCACTGCCAGGTGTAATACCTGAGTGCATGAACCAGGAGTAACCCCTGTGCATCGCTGGGTGTGACCCAAAAAGCAAAAAAAGAAAAAAAAAACTTCTTAGGAATCTCTGAGGCTTAGAAATATGTGAGAAGTCAGGTATGTAGCCCAGTGGGAGAGCACTTGCTTTGCCATGTGTGAGGTCCTGCGTTCAATCCTTGGCACAGAAAAGGAAGGAAAGGAAAGAAAAGAAAAGGGAAGAGAGAGAGAAAAGAAGGGAAAAAAATCTGTAAGACTACAGATACATGAAGAGAAAAGAGGGTATGTCTATATTTCAGCACAGTGGAAACTCTTCCATCCCTTCAGTGTACTAGAAACTCAGTCAGTTGTGTTGGGGTGGGATCTGGGGTCATTCACTAAGCACACCACCACTAGAACAAGAGAATCACAAGATGCCCCATTCTTTCTCCCACTCCCAACCCACCCTTCTCAGAGCAGCACGGGACATTCCAGACCCTTGAACCATCCCCACCCCCATCCCTCACTCTCATCACGAGGCCTCAATCCCCCAGAGCTCTTTCATGTGATGCTCAGCTGAGAGCCCTCTGTGTGTCCCAGCTCCTGAACAAAAAAATCTGGGCTGTGTTCTGCCAGCCCCATCTCAAAGAGGGAGGGTGATCTCTCCTTTGCCTTCTTATTTAACACCAAAAGTGGTGTCTCCTTAGCCTTATTTAACACAGCATTCTTGTACTCCCCATTTTAAAGACCCTATAACAGATACCTCATACACTTCCCGATGGAGTCTTCACCTCCCTTTGGAGCCCCTGCTCCAGCTCACTGACCAGTGGACCTTAGACTAGGCTAAGAAGACCCACAGTGAAGCAGGAGTTACCTTCAGGTCCAACCCCAGACCTCTTATGCGATGAGGAAGCTCAGGTGCCCGTGTCCACACTAAATCAAATGTGAGCAGGCGCTTGTGCTGCTGGCATCTTCCATCTTCCATTAGGAGAGGGAAAGCCCGCACAAGTGTTCAACCCCACAATCACACTGTGCCCACAGTCCTCCGAACTCACCTTCTGTGGTCACCATCGCCAGGACAGCACATAACACAGACACACACAGAAGACATTTTCTCAGCACCAGATTCATCCTGTTCCTCAGTCCGGCTACTAAAGAAGTTGGAGGGCTGGACAAGCCCCTATATAAGAATGGGGTGCTTATTTGCATAGCCCCTCCTCTTCTCTCTCCAGGAGAGGCCTGGGAGCAGCATGAGCACTTGAGGGAGATAAAACAGACAAGGGACCCTACTTCCCAGTTATCCTGCTGGGATAAGTGATAGCTTCTGGTTTCACTGGGTCAATCTCAACTTGATGCATCCCGCTTGGGAAATAAATGCCTGAATGGCAGCTACAGAAATACACCTAATGCACATAATACACCACAGGAGAGTAACGTGTAGCCAAACTAGGAATCTCTCAGATGGGCAATAACAGAAACACTGCATACAAAAGCAGAGGAGAGAAGGACCGAAGAGAGAGAACAGAGCTTGCGTTGCTTGCAACCTACCTGGGTTCGATCCCCGCACCTCCCGGGATCCCCAGAGCCCTACCAGGATTGATGCTCTGAAAGCAGAGCCGATGTGCTCACCAGAAAGCCCTGAACACTGCTAGGTGAGGTCCCAAACAAAGATTTAAAAAAAAAAAAACAGAGAGACACCCTATGGGGTAGGCTCAGAGACTGTCACGCGTGCTCATAAGCCCTTAGGAGATTCCCTTAAGAGAAATTCCCTTAGGATTTTCCCAACTTCCCAGTTTCCAAAAGAGGTTCCCTGGGCCAACGGGAATTTAATCCTTTTCCCTAGGGGTACGGTCTCAGGTCGGGAACTCGAGACCTGATATACTTGGCAGACGGTCATCAGCTTCGCGGTGGAAGCAGAACTCCCCTTACACTCAGCCGCGCCACACAAGCGTGGGGCGGGGCCCTTTGCCGCCAGCCGCCCCGGCCCCGCCCCGCCCACTCTGACGCGGACCAATAGCAAGGTTCGGGGGCGGGGCCAGGGAAACGCGGGAAGGAGGGGCGGGGCCTCTGGTGGCGGCTGGGAACTGGGGGGGGGGAGGCGGCAACATTGTTTCAAGTTGGACAAATTGACAAGAGTGGGAGACAGACCGCGTTCCATCCCGACCTGGGGCGGCGGTGCTGGGCCTGGTCTTCCCCTCCTCCGCCCCTGAGAGCCGGGGCCCGCTTTCTGCAGGGTTCCCAGGCTCCCGCTCCAGGGCCGGGCTGACCCGACTCGCTAGCGCTTCATGGAGAACTTCCAAAAAGTGGAAAAGATCGGAGAGGGCACGTACGGAGTGGTGTACAAAGCCAAAAATAAGGTGACGGGAGAAGTGGTGGCGCTTAAAAAAATCCGCCTGGACACGTGAGTGGCCTCTATACTCGGGACCCCTGACTGGGGAGGTCTTTTCGTGGCCCCCACCCCCACCCTAACAGGCGGGTACCGGAAGGTAGCAGGGCGGGGCCTCTTTGAAGTGGAGAGGTGGGCTGGAGGACTGGAGAGGGTTTCCCGGTCGAGACTGAAGGATCCGAGAGGTGGAAAGTCACTGTAAACGTCCTACCCGGAGCCTAGTGAGACGTCCCCACGGTGCGCTCGGAAAGGTTCAGGAAGAGGCAGGAGGCCCTCTGAACCGGGGTCCAGGACTCCCCAAAGAGGGGTTTTGTGGGACCCATCCGGAGAAGAGCTTTCTGAACGAAGAACCATCCTTACTGTCCCAACTCCACCCTCCTCTTCGAATTCTCTCTCTCTTAAAAAAAATAGAAAATGGCAGTTGAACTTCACTGGTCCCTCTAGGGAGGCTGCTGCTACAACTCCTTTTAAAAATTTTTTTGTCCTGTTGCCGTCTTCTTTGCTTCACCTTTACCAGGGCTTCACTTACCTCCCTCTAGGGTGTGGGTGGATGGGGGGTGGGTGGGGAGAAGAGATCATGGCATTCAAGTGCTCAAAAGTCACTCCTTATCAATCATGGATTAACTCTCTTCTCACTGTCCTAAGGGATACCAGGATTGTGTCATTTTAGGGGTACTGAAGTGTGGGAAATAAGGAACCAGCTGAAAAGGAATATTTGTAACCACATTCTCATTTTCATTTTACCAACCTCTCCAAGTGAGACAGAGGGTGTACCCAGTACTGCCATCAGGGAGATCTCTCTGCTCAAGGAGCTCAACCACCCTAATATTGTCAAGTAAGTATGTGTCTGGGAGGTGTACTGGCAGTAAAGAAGGAGTTCTGTCTTCATAGTCTGGGCATTTCTCTCCCTTACCTTCAACTCCCGAACCTCCCCTTCCCTAGGCTGCTAGATGTCATCCACACAGAAAATAAACTCTACTTGGTTTTTGAGTTTCTGCACCAGGACCTCAAGAAATTCATGGATGCCTCTGCTCTCACTGGCATTCCTCTTCCACTCATTAAGGTAATCCTTTTTCTTCTTTCTTCCCCATCATGACTTGTTTTGAGAGAATTGAAGGCAGTCAGTTGAGACCAAGTATGATTTGTGATCGTGGCTTAATTCCCAGTCTCTTTATTTCACTTACACACACATACTCATACACTCATGCACCCCTATCTTACTTTTGTGGCTCTTTCACTGCTCATTATGCTTATTAACTCTTAGGCTGGGCAGCAGAATCAAAGAAGTTAAAACTCTAGTGAGTCAACTTAGCAACTCTGGTAGAAGGTAGGATGAAACTTAGATAATGGAGTTTGAAGGCTGGAGCGCACTTGGTAGATTCCTTCTAAAGGCTCTTCTACTCCTTTGGTGGAAAAATAGGAAGTGAATCTGTATGGTCTGTTTTAGTTAGTCACCAAATGTTTAGTTAGTCCACATTTATAAAACACCTTCAATAGTTTGCACAAAATATGACAGAGACAAAATATGGATGGGGAAGATAGCTCAGGGGTTAGGGGCACATGTCCTGAGTTTTTCACTCTCTTGGCCCACTGTCCTCCTTTTCGCCTCCATCTCTGTACAGTAGTTTGGAGCACTGCTCGGCTGGAGCAGACCTGACTGGCCAGTGTTGCTGGGAATGGCTCCCTGTTCCTCTGAGCATTACTTGGAAAGCCACTCTCTAAAGGAAAAAAAAAAAAGATACAAAGCAGAAGAATAAGACTTGGTGGGACAGAGAGTCCAGTGGAGAAATAGCTGGTAACTATATAATTATAATCAAATCTAGTAAAGGCTTTAGTTGAGGCTTTGGCTTTTTGTTGTTGTTGTTGTTGTTGTTTGTTTGTTTTGGGGCCAGACCCAGCAGTGCTCAGGAGTTACTCCTGGCTCCAAACTCAGGAATTACTCTGAACATTTACTCGGAGCAATTACTCCGGGGATGCCAGGGATCAAACTTGGTTGGTTGCGTGTCAGGAAGCTCCCTCCTATCCTCTATACTATCACTCCAATCCAGTAGTTGTAGGTTTGTTGTTGTTGTTGTTGTTTTGAGGAGGGGATAGGGGTTTTGTTTAGAGCCACACTTGGTAGTACTCAGACTTACTCCAGGACGCAGCTCAGGGGACCATATGCAGGAGATTGAACCAGGGCCAGCTGAGCGTAAGGCAAGTGCCTTAACTCCTGTGCTATCATCTCTGGCCGGTTTAATAGAGTTTTGAAAGCACAGAGACCCTGAACTATTCACTGGAGTGTCTTGTCTCTCTTTCCCCTTGTCAGAGCTATCTGTTCCAGCTGCTCCAGGGCCTAGCTTTCTGCCATTCTCATCGGGTCCTGCACCGAGACCTCAAACCTCAGAATCTGCTCATTAATGCGGAGGGATCCATCAAGCTCGCAGACTTTGGACTAGCCAGAGCTTTCGGAGTCCCTGTTCGGACTTATACTCATGAGGTGAGTCCCCCTCTGCTTTTCTTCTTGTAACTTAAAAGGATAGTCACAAAGATAATCAAAAGATCTGGACTGCGCATTCTCACTCAGATATTGGAAAGCCTCTCTGACTCCCCAAGAGGTCTTAGAGATACTGTCAAGCTAGCGAGCTTGAGAGATACCAAGCCAAGATAATTGTATGGCACGCTGTTAAAATGGTGACCACTGGCGCTGGGGAGAGAGCCGTATGGACTGAGCGTATCCTTTGCATGATGAAGCCCGGATTGGAGCCCCAACACTGCATGGTTCCCCTGAGCACTGCCAGGTGTGACTCTAAAAGTAGAATTCAGTTAAAAAAATTCCTCACCTCAAGTTTTCCAGGAAGGTCACAAATTAGGGGATCAGAATAAATGACCCCAGAGCCATGAGTGAACTAGGCTAATTCTGGGTTGAGAAATTGTACGCAGGGAATGGAGAGGTAGTATAACAAGTAGGGTGCTTGCCTTGCTCATGGCCAACTTGGGCATTCCATACGACTCCCTGAGCACCACCAGGAGTTACCCCAGAGCCTTTCTGAGTGTGACCCAAAACAAATTGTATGCAGAACTGGAATGGTAGTACAGCGGATAGGGTGCTTGCCTTGCACATGGCCAACCTGGGTTCAAGCCCCAGCATCCCGTGTGGTTCCCTAACACCACCAGGAGTATATTCCTGAGTGCAGAGCCTAAGCACCATAATTGGGGTCCAAAAAAAAGAAGAAAAGAAAAGAACAAAAAAAGGAAAAATTGCATGTAGGGGGCTGGAACAATAGTACAGTGGGTAGGGCTGATACAGCTGATACAGGTTCACACAGCTGATACAGGTTCAATTCCCAGCATTCCCTATGGTTCCCTGTGCCCTCCAGAAGTAAGCCCTGAGCACAGAGCCAGGAGTGAGCGCTGAGCACCACTGGGTGTGTCTGCCCCCTCAAAAGAAAAAAAGAATCATATGCAGTCCTTTCACTGGCAGGAAAGGAGAGGGAGGGAAGTGGGAAGTGAAAGAGGGGAGGAAAGTGTCTGTGAGTGGGGCTGTGAGTTAGAGCAATGTTGAGGAGCAGACATGTGGCCCACAGGCCACCACTTCCCTTCCTTCTCTTATCCCCCAGGTGGTGACCCTCTGGTACCGAGCACCTGAAATCCTTCTGGGTTGCAAATACTACTCCACAGCTGTGGACATCTGGAGCTTAGGCTGCATCTTTGCTGAGATGGTATGGCAACATGCCCAAGTTTTACCCAGCCCACTGCTCCCCAGATTCAAGAACAACAGGAGGGTTTCTTGCCTCAGACTCATAGCCCTTCTGTTATTACTGGGTTCTTTCTCTAGAGTAGCACCAAGGGAGGTGGTGGGGACAAAACAGAGCTGCTGTGTCTTATATCAACTCTGTGTTATAGATCCTCAAGCAGCCTTATAGTCAGTATCCCTAAACACGTCAAACCCTAAGTCGAGCTAAAGTACATCTGCAGCTCTTACAGCTTTGGTCTGCATGTATCTGATTTCGTGCCTCCCACATCTGGTCTTAGACTAGAGAACTAGGAACGTAGTGGCACTGTGTCCACTTTACCAACACCTTTTATTTCTCAGGGGACAGTCTTAGAGCATGTCCCCTCAACCTCTGGCTTTTCAGATAGAATGATCCCTGAGGCCCAGCCTTGTATGGGAACTGTCATCCCTTTCAACCCAACAGTGGAGTGGGCTGAGTTTTCAAGTCAAACTAGCAATGTTTTAAGGTTCTTTTTCTGGGTCGTTAACTGGGGACTTGGAGATGATTAACCTATGTAATACACACACACACACACACACACATACACACACATCTTTATTTACAATATACGTTAATCTCCCAGTACATTACCTTACAATTGCCCATATTCCTCTCTCAATTCATCAAAAAATATTTGTTAAGCACCTAGTGTGTACCCAGCACCATGCTAAGTGCTGTGGGGAACACAGAAGAAATGGAAGACACAGTCTCTGCCCGCTGTGCTCCTATCTAGAAGTGGCTGCATCACAAGGAGGGGGGATGACCGCAGTGTCTACCCCACACCCCGTGAGTGGCTTGGGATCCCTTTGCTACATGTCAGTGGCACCCCAGACATTCGTCCCCCTCCCAGCCCCACCCAGCCTTGGGGATCTGGAAAGGCATGGTTGGGGGAAGGAAGGAGGGGGCAAGAAGACAGATGAAGGGACTTCATTGTCTCTCAGCTCTGTGTGACTAACCCCATGAAAGGCCCCGGGGAGGGAGTCATGGGGCCCTGCTGACCTTCCACTGCCTGTGGGAACCTCCGTTGTACAGAGGCCAGTTCCGACTGACGTCAGTACGGGGTTTGGCCTTTCCTCTTTGCCCACTTTCAGGTGACCCGCCGGGCCCTGTTCCCTGGAGATTCTGAGATTGACCAGCTCTTCCGAATCTTTCGGACTCTGGGCACACCAGATGAGGTGGTTTGGCCTGGAGTTACTTCCATGCCGGATTATAAGCCAAGTTTCCCCAAGTGGGCCCGCCAAGATTTTAGCAAAGTTGTGCCTCCCCTGGATGAAGATGGACAGAGCTTGTTATCGGTGAGAGGGGATGGGCACCCATTTCCCTAGGCACCTCCTCCTGGGCAGGGTTTTTCCACGATGAAGAAGGATGAGCCCCTGAACTCCGGGTCTCAACACTTCCCTCATCCCTGCTTCTCTCCCACTGCTGGCACAATGGTTCAGATATAGGGAGGAGGGAAAGGGGGGTCTTGGGGCGCAAGGACTTGGTTTCTTGGACACCTGCTGCCCATCAGCTTTCTGTGCTATCACTGAAGTCAGCGTACGTCTCTTCCTCCAGCAAATGCTGCACTACGACCCCAACAAGCGGATTTCGGCAAAGGCAGCTCTGGCGCACCCTTTCTTCCAGGATGTGACCAAGCCAGTGCCCCATCTTCGGCTGTGATGTCCTTCCCCATGCCCCCAAGTCTCACTCCCCCTTTCTTCCAGTGAGGGCCTGATCTGGCTTGGAGCCCTCTGATCTTGTCTGGCTGCCTTAACACATATTTTATCCTCTTTGCCAGACAGCTCTGGGGAATACCAAGATAGAGGAAATAGGTGAAAAATGAAAGGAAACTCGAGAAAGTCAAAGGAAGCTCAGATGCACTTAAGTCAGTCTGCATTACTCTCTTCTCACGTCTTAGTTGATGCTGAGGAGGGGTACTTAAACAGAAAAAGACTGACTCCCCTCGCCTCATCCAGGATTTGCCATGCCAAACGGCCCTCAATTTTTAGAATGACAAGAGATTCCCATAGCTTCAGCCACTGGCTTCGTGAGGCCGACTTAAAGCAAGAAGGCTAAGTCGGAACTTATGAAAACCAAGAAAACAAAAGCATATGTCGGGGCTTGTTTTAAGGGATTAGGACTTTTAAAAAAGACACAACCAATTTATACCTTTACTATTTCATCTTACCTAAGACTTTGACTCAACTCAATCTTGGTGGTCTCTGTCAGAGTCAGGGATAGCCTAAGCACTACCAGATGGCCCTGAATGTGTAGTAGAAATGTGTTTTCTGGTCTTAGCTTTCTTGCCTGCTAAGCCCATTTCACTGTCCTTCTTAAGCCCAAGGGGTGTCTAGGAAGCTCTGGGATAGGAATTAGACGACACTGAGTTCTTACAAGACAAGTGAAAGTTTAATTTTTTTTTTTTTTTGTCTTTCAAAATGTTTATCCTTCAGGTGCTAGGGATCCAGGGATCCCGTGTTACCATCTTCCTCCAAAAGCAGCCCTAGGAGTGGAAGTTAGGGTTTAGACATTGTTTTGAGAATGATTATACCTTTTTTAGGGCTGTGGCTCAGTTGCAGGGGGGATGGGAGGGAGCATAGGGAAAAATATTTCTTTAAAAGAAGGATGGATGAGCAATTATATTTATATTTCAGGTTATAGTAGTTTTTTTAATGGGAGTGGGTGGATTTGTTGCCATGCACACCATGGGGTTTTGTAATGCAAATGTTTAAAAAGAAAACGTATTTTTTTCCATTTTTATGATTTTTGTCTCTCCCACCTTTTGTCCTTGAGTGTTCTTGCTCTTAACATTATTTGTAATTTAGTTTGTAATTCATTAAAAAAAAAGTTCCTAATTTTATAGTTTATATCTTTTCTACTTTATTTGCCGAATGAATGGTGCAAGAGGGCCTGAAAGAAACAGGGCACTTGCCTTGCTGTGGTCAACTTGTTTCGATCCCAACACCCCATGTGGTCCCCAAGCCCCACCGGGAGTGGTCCTTGAATACAGAGCCAGGAGTAGGCCCTGAGCATCATCAGGTATGGCCGTGTTGACCACCCCTCCTAGACGCCCCTCCCCCCCAAAAAAGATGCAAGGCTGTGATTGTAGGTGCCAGATAGTATTGCAGGTAGGGTCCTTGTCTTGCAGTTGACCATCATTGAGTTCAATCCCTGGTACCATGTATGGTCCCCAGAGATCCACCGGAAGTGGTCCCTGAGCACAGAGTCAGGAATAAGCCCTAAGCACTACCAGATATGGCCCCAAATGGTGTGTGTGTGTGTGTGTGTGTGTGTGTGTGTGTGTGTCTGTTATAAGAACATGTACATAATCTTTGGTTTCATAGCCCCTTCCTAATCTTTTAATTACCTCATCCCATCTTGGTGACTGTGATGCAATTGGAATAGTGCAAAGGTGAAGAAAGTGAGAGCTATTGCTCCCATTTTACATCTGGAAAAAGTAAAGCTTATGTTTCCTAACCAACTTTTCCACAAACCTGCCTCTCCCTACTCTGCCCACAGCACGCGCGCGCACACACACACACCCCACGTACATACAAGATGACCGTTCCAGAATTTTAATATTAAGGGTTTAGGATTAGGAACATGGCTGAAAATGGACTCAGAGGTATTCACCTTGACATTGTCTGTCCCTGTAAATTCATTTTTCTTTCTTGGTCCATATTACAACCAGGAGAGTTTTCTAAAGTTATGTCATTCACATCTCTATAATGATTGAGACTCTATCTCAATCATTAGAAGCTATCTTAATCATTAAGAAAAAAATATTATGAAGAGGTTAGAGTTACTACTTTGGGTTCACAATGTCCTGCACTGCCAAAAACCATGTTCAAATGCCTACACACCACCCGAAAAATTTCTGCCTTCTGAGGCCTGGAGGGAGCACGGGTGGGTGGGTTACTTAAATCCCCAGACTCCAGGTTCCTAGAAGAGGCAGTTCCCTACACACCCGCGAATTTATCACAGAAGGCGGGGCGCTAGGGTCAGCCCCCGCCAAACCCGGGGGGAGGGGCGAAGGTCAGTAGCGGCCTTCCTAAGGCTTCTTTCAGCCTCTTCTCGCCTGCCATTCAAGTCCCGAATTTTTGCTGTACTGGTTCAAGTTTCACATGGACCCGCCTCCTGCACTCACCTGATTAGATGTTTATGAGTCAAAAGGCGGGGTAATGAGGCTCCCGGCACTTTATTGGTAGGTACGGACGCCTGTCAGCAGTGTGCCCGCCCCCGCCTCCGGGAGCTCGTTTCTTAATGGCCCCTCACCTTGTCCGTCTCCCAGGTTTCCCTTTCGGTATTGGCCTAGGTACCCGCCCGTCCGGCCCCGTGCTCCGGCCCGTTGGCGACTACGCCGAAAGAGTCCCGCCCTCGTTCGGATGATTGGCGGACTAGCACCCACATGGCCCGCCCCCCGTGGTAGGCGGGTAGTCGTGTCATTGGCTGGGGCCCCCGCCCCGGGCGAGAGGCGGAGGAGGAGGGGCCGGAGAGTTTGGTTGAGCCGCAGCTGTTTGTCTGTTCGGCACAGGCTCGGGCCCGACGGGGGACACGGAGCCCCAGGTACCGGACGGATGGAGCCCACTCGGGCGAGGGGCGGAGGCGCCGGGGAGAGCCGGCGACCCGACCCGCGCCCGGAGGCGGGTCCGGGTGGCGGCGAGGGCCGAGGGCGGCCCCCGAGCGCCGGGAGAAGGGGGCCGGGCCGCGGCAGGCCTAACGGGGGCGCTGAGGAGGGGGCCGGGCGGGCGGGGAGCCCGAAGTTGGGGAGGCCGGGAGGCGGCCGGGCTCCGGGCCGGGCGGGCCGGGCGCGGGAGGCCCGGGGCTGGCGCGAGGGCCGGGGCAGGCCTCGGCGAGCGGCGCCGGGGCGGGGGGCGCCGGGGAGCGGGCCGGGGCTGCGGGAGCCCAGGAGGGGGTCAGCCCCGACGCCGGCGGCCGGGCCGGGCCGGGGGCCCGCGTCCGCGTTCTGTCGGGCGAGGGGCGCAGGATGCGCGGCGCGAGGGAGCCCCGCGGCGCTCGGCGGGCGCCGGGAGACCGAGGTGGCGGGGCAGGGGAGGCGGCCGGGCCGGGGGGTCGGCGGGGGCCGCGCCGCCGTCCGCAGAGTCCCCGCCCGCGGCTCCGGGCCGTGTCCAGGCCGGGTCAGCTGAGGTTTTTCCGGTGGCGCTCCCGCGTCGCCGGAGCCGACCGAAGTCGGGCGGCGGGGGGAGGGTGCGCTCTCGGCGACTGCTGTCTGCTCCCCCGCAGACCCCTCGGGTCCTGCGGGAGCGCTTGGCCTCGGCGAGGGGCCAAGCTGGACGTGGGGACAGTCGCTTCTCTTCTGGCCCTTCGGCTCGTGGGGTCGGTAGCGGATCCCCCGCCTGGTCCCGAGCAGCGGGGGCTCCGCCCGTTCCGTATCTGCCCAGGGAAAGGGGGTTTTGCCGGCCCCAGCGGTCTGTGGACCGTCGTCGTTGGGGAAGTGTGACATGGGTATTCCCCGGCAGGTAATGACTTGGTGGAACCGAGCCTGGAAATGGGAGGTGATGTCACTGAGGAAAGGATTTGGGGAAGAGTGAGAAATTCCATTCCAGAAGGTTGGCATCACCTTTGTTCTTTGTCTACCTCTTCAGGAGGGGCCCCCCTGGCTTCTGTGCGCCTAGAAAGTTGGGCTGAGCAGTGGGGTAGTGGGGAAGGAGGTGAGTCGTGCGAACAGAAAAGAGGGGGCTCACTTGGCACAGCGGCCCACTCCCGTGTATTTTTCATGCTCCGCTGACCACCTTCGGTCTCCCACCAGACATCACTTCTTACTGATTTTGCTTTCATCGTACTTCGTTCATTTCCTCTTTTATACTAGTGAACTCCATTCCTTCTTAGTTTCAAAATTAGTAGGTATGTGTCTTTAAATATTAAAGTAGTACAGAAGTATGAAAAGTGTAGATCCTTCCACCTGAACAACTTATTATACATCTTTTATTCAGGAGGGTAAAAGATAAGGACAGCAAGTCAGGCTAATCTTGCTTTGCTCTGGGGGATGTGCCACCAAAGACAAGGTTCTCATGTTCCCATCAAATTCAGAGGTGATATTCTGTTATTTATTGTGTTCCCTTCACAGTTCCTTTTGTCTTGCTTCTGTCAGATTCAGAGAGGCAGAGTTGTACTCTAGGTTAAGCCTCTTCTTACATACACACACACACACATCAAGTTGTGCACTAAATATCTTAGGAAATGCCCAAATAAATCGCCGAAATGGTTTTTCATGGGCAGGGGGGAAACACTAAGAGGATTCATTGTGTTTGGGAGAATTATTGGCCTCTGTGGGGGGGAGGTTGAGACCTTTCCTGGTGCATGGTCTCTGTGTGCACAGATTATATGACTGTCCCTTCCTTATCCCAAAAGGTGGTTCTTAGGGGCTCCTATATCTTTTTCTAGTGATAGAAAAAGCTCTGATTTATCTGGATTTGAAATTGATTTTCTTCTAAACCTCACTACAGCTGGGATATCTCATACTGCCATTTTTCTCTTCCTTTTTTTTAAGTTGAATTTGTCTTTTACTACCTTTTGAAGGTGTCTAGTCTTTGTACAGCACTCTCAGAAACCTTTATCGTTTTCCCTTCAGAAATTTTTTTCCTTTCCTGCAAAGTCAGACTAAGAGAAAGTGTGTGTGTGTGTGTGTGTGTGTGTGTGTGTCCTTCCCCTCTTATTAGGCTTTGCTATTTTCTCTACTGAGGTTTTCACTTGTTTTGTCTTTTCCTCCTTCCTCTTAAAGCATACCTTCAGAAAACAATCAGGATGAATTATGCCCTCTTAAGTTGAAAATAGCAATCACTTGACAAGTTTTGTTTTGTTTTAACTTTTGGTCTCACCTGGCAGTGCTCAGGAGTTACTCTTGGCAGTGCTCTGGGGACCATGTGAGGTGCTGGGAATCAAACCCTGGTTGATCACTGCATGGCAAGTGCCCTACCTCCTGTACTGTGATTCTGGTCCTTCACTTAAAGTATTAACTCTTTTAAAGGTTTTGCTCTTTTTTTTTTTTAAATTGTGGGAGCCACCCTGTGATACTAGGGTAAGGACATCTGAACCCATGTCTTCACCATGTGCTCTGTTGCTTGAGCCACATCTGTGGCCTCAAGCTTTTGCTTTTATTTATTTTGCGGGGTAGGTGGAGTACCAGGAATCAAATCCAGGGCCTCACACAGCAGAGCAAATGCTCTGCCTCAGAACCACATCCCCGGCAAGGTTTTTGCCTCTTTGGAGGGAGCTTAGCATTGCTCATTGGACTGAGGTATATACTTTGTAGAAGACTCGGGTTTAATCCCTGATATCTCATGATCCTCTAAGGAGCACTGTGAGTGATTCTGAGGACCAGGTGTGGTAACAAACCAAAAATGAGAGACTTGAACACTCGAGAGCTAAAACAGGAGTTAAGCATTTGCCTTGTCCATGGCAGACTCTGGTTCAGTCCCAGGACCCTACCAGGAGTGATCCCTGAGCACAGAGTAGGAGTAAACCCTGAGCACTGCTGCTGGCCGTGGCCCTCAAAACAAAATTAATGTAGCTGCTCTTTAGAAAGAAGGAAGCCTTAAAATCCTACACAACATTGGGAGCCGGAGAGAGTGTACAGGAGGTGGTGGGGAGTTTGAATCTGAGCCCCCGCCGGAGAATAAATCCTGAGTGCAGTACGAGGAATAACACCTGAGCATTGCTGGGTATGGCCCCCAGACAAAACAAGAACAGAAAAATCCTACACAATACAATTACTGAGAGTGTTTTTGGAAAAATTTAATCATTGAACTGTAATGTAACTTAGCTAAAGAGCCATCTAGGTAATCAAAATGTATGCAGATTTCTGGATTGGGTTATAGTTTCTGTTCTGGAGAAAGAAGTACCTTTTTAATAGTGTCCTCAAGCTCAGGGATATATATTGGGGGTTGGGAGTGGGGACCACATCCAGCAGTTCTCAGAAATCACTCCTGTCAGGCTCAGGGGACCATATGGGCTGCCAGGGATCAGACTTGGGTTGGCCGCGTGCAAGGCAAGCACCCTATTTACTGTATTGCCGCTTAAACCCAGATATGACTACATAATCTGATTATTTTGAACATTTAACCTCAATTGAAAATTCAGGGGCCGGAGTGATAGCACAGTGGGTAGGGCGTTTGCCTTGCACACGGCTCACCCGGGTTCGATTCCCAGCATCCCATATGGTCCCCTGAGCTACCGCCAGGAGTAATTTCTGAGTGCAGAGCCAGGAGTAACCCCTGTGCATCGCCAGGTGTGACCCAAAAAGCCAAAAAAAAAAAAATTCAGGAAACTTTGTTTTTATTTTATTTTGTTTGGGGGCCATACCCAGTTGTGCTTAGGGCTTACTCCTTGCTCTGTGCTAAGAGAGCACTCCTGGCAGTGTTCAGGGTACCATACATGGTGTCAGTAATGAACCTGGGTTGGTTGCATGCAAGGCAAGCACCTCACACACTAACCTATCCCTCCAACATGCAACTTTGTCTTCAGCCAGTTGCTTCAGTGTTAGGGTGGGGGACTGTATGTAAGGTGTGATGAGGCCATCTGAGGCATAGTAACCGGTGACAGGAAAAGCAGTTAGCCCATATGAGTTGCAACAGTACCTTGTGGGCAACAGTACCTTCAGGGGCCCCTCTATCCAAGGGAGGTAACAGAAATCAGGGAGAGAATTGGCTCTCTGAAGAAATGAATTTCACGAAATGTAACCAAGAATCTTATCAAGATAGCACAGAAGAAGAAGAGTCCATGGAGGAGCAAAGTAGAATTACTTTGGCATTAATTGAAGACTAATTTAATAGACAACTACTAGGGAGCAGACATTGAGCTCTGCTTGAGAGATACAAGATAACATAAAAGTATTTTTTTTCCCTTTTTCTTTTTGGGTCACACCCAGCAATACTCAGGGGTTACTCCTGACTCTGCACTCAGGAATTAGTCCTGGAGATGCTTGGAGGATGATAAGGAATGCCGGGGATTGAACCCAGGTCAAATGCGTACAAGGCAAACGCTCTACCACTGTACTATCGCTCTGGCCCCTGTATTTTTTTTTTTAAAGAAGTTTGTAGTTTAGAAGAGCCCACAGAACAATTAAATCTTGGGCTGTGGAAGTGCTCAGCAGTATTGAGTGCAGACTTCGCATGCATGAGCCCTGACACCGCATGGATCAGCACTACTGGAAGCAGCCCCCAGTCACTGAGCATTTCTGGGTAGGTCCCCAAAACAACAACAAAACCTAAATAACTTAATATTATAATGTAACAAATGCTAAGATAGCAGCATTCTTCAGGGTCAGAGAGGTAGGATAAGGTACGCCTTGTACTCAGCATCCTTTTTTTTTTTTTTGCTTTTTGGGTCACACCCAGCGATGCTCAGGGGTTACTCCTGGCTTTGCACTCAGGAATCACTCCTGGCAGTGCTCGGGATGCTGGGAATCGAACCCGGGTTGGCCGTGTACAAGGCAGACACCCTACCGGCTGTGCTATTCCTCCAGCCCCTTCCCTGGCATCCCATATGGTCCCCAAGCACCGCCAGGAGTAATTCCTAAGTGGATGGTCAGGAGTAACCCTAATCATAGCCAGGAGTAGCCCAATCACCCTTCTCCACCCCGCAAAAAATATTCTTCAGACTGGAAGCCAGAGGGGAGGAAGGGGAGGAAATGATGAATTCTTGGATAAAAGAGAAATTATGCAACTTCATGGAGAAGGTGACATTTGAGCTTGGGCTTAAAAGTTAGAACTAGGAGTTTGCTAGGTCTAGTAGAGAAGAGCATTCCAGTCTTTCCTAGGTCAATAACAGGGAGTTTGTACTACCATGTTAATAAGAGATGAGTGTGCTTTTTGCCTCTTGGGGAAATATGAGAGGGTAGGGGAAGTAGACTCTCATTTAAGCTGGTGACTCATTGGTTAACACTGACCAACGTTAACATTGGTCAACACAAGGAAAGAGCTGAATCAAGTTATAGAATTCTCAGTTCAAAATTTTTATAATTTGGGGCCAGAGAGATAGTACAGGTGTTAAGGCTCCTCGTATGTGACTGAGCCCGTTTTGATCCCTGGCACTACATATAGTCCACCCGCACCCCCAGGAGTCACCCAATCAGGGAGCTAGGAGTAGTCTGGGTCTGTCCCAAAAACTAAAATAGGGGCTGGAGTGATAGTAATGTGGGTAGAAGCTTGCCTTGCATGTGGCCAGCCAGTCCCTGGCATCCCATATGAACTCTTGAGCACTGCCAGGAATAATTCTGAGCATTGCTTGATGTGAACCGAAAGCAGAAATTAAAAGTATATATTAATATATATATATTTGGGAGTTAAAATTGAGGTATAAACAAATTTGGAGAGTTGGAGGTATTTACTGACTTCTGCTGTCTTTCCTATTCAGTAAATATCTCACATTAATCCCCAACTCACTCAATTCTTGCAGAATTGCCACTTTCCTAATTGTTTTCTACTTAATTGCTTTTATTTCAAC